CTTAATGTCTGTCTAGAATATGTGCAGAGTTTTTGTTTGTAAGAGAACCCATGGCCATGCAATGGTTTTCCTGCCTGATATAAAATATTATATAATGTATGTTGTATAATACAAATATAAGAAATAATAATATATCTAAAGTTGTACGTATTAGGTATTGAAGCTTGGGTCAGTCCAGCCTATCATATATTTTATTTTACTTATTATTTTATTGAAGAAAATGATAATGCACTTAAAAAAACAACAAAAGATAGAATAATACGTGATAGGACTCCCTTCAAGCAAACATTCTATGTATGCTCTGAAAGTATAGAAATCTAGTCATGCATTGGGCACATCTTCTCATGAATTTAACATATATGTATATAGAAGATATTCTCAATATAAATAAAATTTTTACTTGCAAGAAATTTGGGCAAAAATGATAAAGGGAAATCCATCAAAACTAACACCACCACACAAAGAGGAAAGATTACATAATGTCCATTACATGATAACTCCTAATTTGGGAATGTTGTATTAGTCATGTTTATCTCATCTAAACTCTACTCTAGACCCCAAACATTCCCTTCAACATCCTCTTTTTGTTTCCACTTTTATGGGTGGGGGGAACCATTATCATTGGGGTGGGGAATTGGGGAAGGGGAAAATATACATATAAAAAAGGAGATTTATGGCTCCCCTGGTTTATACTAAAGGTCCATCTGGTTGACAGATAGAATCAAAATCCAATATTTTGAAATCAGAACTAAAATGGTCTATTCTCATAATCTATTCGGTTCAAACAGGAATGGGAATGAAAATTGAAATTAGTAGGAATTAGATTTCATTCCCAAGAGAGGGGCAGGGAATGGTATTCCTTCAACTGGGAAAATATCATTTCAGTAGAATGGGAATGGAATTCCAATTCCACCAATCAATCAGTAGGAATAGAAATAGCTCATTAACTCATTCCGATTCCGACTCCAGACCCCTGTTCCTGCAAACCTAACGGTGCCTAAAATCTATTTGTAGATAAAAAAATTAAGGATAGTACTGCCACATTAGCTCTGGCTGGTTTTAATATATGATTTCTATATTTTCTACATAGCTATATGGATTTTGGATTGACATCAAATACTTGATAGATTGTTTTAATGGATACAAACATATTGGATCAATTGTAAAAATCTCTTTCACTAGTTGGTTTGACATTATGTCATACCATGAAAGTTGGCCTTGTGTAATGCATCCACTAGGAACTCTATCCATCACCAAACCACTAACACACTTATATTCCACCAAATGGCTTGTTAACAGTTTTGGGTGGTTTTTCAAATTGGCAAGATGAATTACATGAATTGGGTCATAAGTTGCCATCGTTATTTTTAGGACTGTAATCCAGGCGATAACATCCGAAGCCAATCTAACTAGTGAACTTTTATATCTGATTCCAGTCAAAATTTGGAAATTTCACATTAGACTTGAATCTTATCTAGACCTATTCATGGGCTGGGCTTTGGGTTAGACTTACACTATATCAGGCTTGGGCTTCGGGCAAGGCCCATTCAAATTTTGGCAAAAGCCAAGTTCAAGTCCGACCCATGATCAGGTATTCTTATCACGGGTTTGATTATGATATGAAAAAGATATGATATCCAAAAAAACAACTGACCAATAAACCAGAAGCGTAAACGTGGTAGGGAACATGGTGTTATTTATCAAAATTCATGGGTGGGTTTTGATTGGTCAAAACTCTTTCCATACCATATCTTTTCTACATCATAGATTTTCCCTCTTATCATGTTCAGATTGGATTTGGATTTAATCTACTTTCGTTACATATTTTTTTAAAATAAAGAAAGAAATAAAAAATAAAAATTTAATTAATCATTAACTTATATATAATAAATTAATATAAACATGAAATATTGAATTTATTATATATAAGTTTATGTGTAGTATAATATATAAAACTATATATTTTATTTATATAACTATTTGAATTCTATGCATTAAATCAATATATAAAATAATCAAACATGAATTTTAATCAAATCAGATGGGATGAAATATGTTTCCAATTGGATTGTGTAGACAAATTATCCAAAATCATGATAATTGGACTAAATGCTGGATTGAGTATCAAACTTTTGGAGCCCATTGACAGTCCTACCTGTTCTGTTTCTGATTTGGAACAAGAGATTAGGGTAGTTTGATAATACATTAGCTTCTTTGGTTTCAATTTGTGGCACACTGTCTGTGCATTCATTTCACATATGTATCTCAGTTTGAACCATACTATCTCATAAATTATCAGAAACACTTTGGGTCTTCTTGGTTCATAGTTGGAATCAGAATCAAAATCCCTTAGAATTGGAATCAGAATGGTCTATTGCTATAATTTATTTGGTTCAAATAAGAATCAAAACTAAAATGAAAATGGGACTTCATTCCCAAGGGAGGGAGAGGGAATGACTATTTTTTTCAAATGGGGGAGTGTCATTCCAAACTGCTTAGATTTATTTCTCTCCAAGATATATTGCCAATTTGCTTTTTGTTGATGTCATAGATGAATCTTCTCCAAACTGCTTAGATTATGTATTCTTTCTATATGGCTGGGACAGGACAAGTCTTTCAAAGAACCTCCCTAATTCACTTGTTTTAAGATCCGTTAGGGAATAGAAACTATTTAAGAATCTCTCCTAATAACTTAAGGCTCAGTTTGGAAGGAGTATAAATACAAATATGTACTGTGCAAATACATACAAAATAATATAAAATACAAGATTTTGCACTCTACAAATTTATATTTGTACTCCTAGCCTAAGCTTCTAGGTTGAATGGGTTTTTTTGGCATGACATCAGCTTAATCAAATGGTCTATTAATGCTTTAACTTTATCCTCTCATTATAATTAATTAAATTTCAATACAAGGTCTGAGTGAGCCTTTACACCCATACCTTAAATTCGATAGGCTTTTTGGGAAGAGGCATGTTAAGAAATAAAAACCTATTCAATAAACTCACCTAATAACTTAAACACCATGGCTGGTTTTGTTTTTGAAAACAAAAACCATGTTGTGGAACACCCCTTAAAAGCTTCTAGATTGAATGATTCCTTCTTTGTAGGTTGGCATTTGGTACGACTTGCAATGTTGGTTGTTATGATTTCTGATCATCAGAATCACAACAAAGTTTCCAAATCAATTCTCTTGAACATGTTTTCAACCGTGTTTGTGAGATCTCATACCGAATACCGATGCATTGTTTTTTAAAATGATTCATGCTCTCAATACTTGTTTTCAGCATATATATATCTATCTACACTATCTACAAAAGAGCAAATGTCTCTTCTTTCTAGAGTTTTCATTGGACGTTTTCTATTCCTTTTGTCTATAAAGAGGGTATATATGACCTTTACTCTCATTTTAGAAACTACCCGCTTATAACTGATCACTTATAATTATTCAAAAACTGCCCACTTATAACTGCTCAAAACCTATTTATAAATTATAAATAATTTTGTCTTAAAAGTACTGTCACGTACAAATACACTACATATTTACTAGTTGATTTTTAATTTGCATTTCCTATTTTATTCACTATTGAGAATTATGTATGTGTCATGTCATCCTATATTCCTATTAATCCATCTGAATTGTCTAATGGTGTCATATCAACCGTCCATGTGGCAGAATACCTACCATGGCTGCATAATTGTATCCATTAATCCAAATCCGATTTCAAATTAAAGGTGACCCGAATTTGAGTCGTTTAAAATTGGATTGAGAATCAATTAACCCCTATCTGATCCATCATTTTTATTTGATACAATGTTTTAAAAATCGATCCAGAACCGAAATCAGTTTCACCACCTGATTTTCAGGTAAAAAATTCAACCGTCTGGTCTGAACAGGTCAGCCCAAAATATTATAAAAATTATAGAAATAATTAAAATATAAAAATATAAAATAACCCAAAAATTATTATCCGGGTCCAATAGATTGATGGTTTGACCATCCAGTTCAGTGAGTCATTGATCAGTTAAGTCAACAGTTTTTTGAGAAAGCATGGTTTGGGGCTGAATTGATCAAACAGTTCGGGTTAATATGGTTGAAAAACCATGATTTGACAGATATATTAATAAAATTGGTTTTTTTATATGTATTAGGATTGGTTTATATGTTGTATTTTCATTAGAGTAATGGATTCGAATTTCATACAAGTTAATTTTACTATTTTAATTTAAAATAATTTAAAAAGATAATATATGACCACTTTCAATTTTTTATTAAAGGAGTAAAGAGGTTGAACCATTTGACCCACGATTCAGTCACCAAAGATGGTTCACTGTCCGGTCCAACTCAACTCTATCCGATTTATTGCACTGGGCATTAGACTTTTTTGCTCAATTTGAAAAGAATACAAATACAAATGCATATTGTGCAAAACCTTACAATTTGTATTATTTTGTATATATTTGCATTTGAAAGGAGTATAAATATAAATATGTAGAACGTAAAACCTTGTATTTTATATTATTTTGTATGTATTTATACTGTACATGTTTTGAAAGCTTTGCCAAATGACAAAAAAATGAAAAATCATTTTTTATATACATTATTTTTTTAGTGAGAAAAGTCTCATCGCCTAATTAAGGAGTGCATTACACGGTAGAGTTCAGGGATGACATGGACTGGTGCACTATTACACGTGACAAATCGAGAGAGATTCGTGGATGAAATCGACGGTCACGGTTAGCCGCTTCGTTTACACAAGAAGAAGAAGAGCTGTATCCAAGCCAAAAGCGTCGAAGCAAATGGTTAAGTAAACAAATGGCAAACACTTTCTTGGAAGCAAGGAACAAATTGTACAGAGAGCAAAGGAAGGCAGAAGGAAAATGTCTCAACACATCTTTGTCTGAAGAAACAGCCAAAGCACAACCAATCACCTTGACACACACTGATTCTCACCAACTTCTCCGTAACCCCCCATATAAATAAATATGCTCCATGAGATGCTTATAATACTCGGCCAATTTAGCTCTTTTGCAGGAAAAATCAAAGAATAAAATAGAGGAAGCTGCTAACCATGGTTCTCTCTGTTGTTCAATCCGCTGAAGAGAGTTCCTCTGCCTTCATTGATTCAGTTTTCGCTTCCAGATATGTTCAAGATCCATTGCCAAGGTTCTGTTCAGAAAACATGGTTTTGATTCTAATCGCCTTGATTTCTATTCTATGTTTCTTTTTTTTTTTTTATTCAAAACGAGATGGGAGATGATTTTGTTTTGGGTTTTTGAAATGCTCAGATATAATCTGTCGGAGAAATCGATCCCAAAAGAAGCAGCCTATCAGATAATCCACGATGAGCTGTTGTTAGATGGTAATCCGAGGCTGAATTTGGCCTCATTTGTGACTACGTGGATGGAGCCTGAATGCGACAAGCTAATGGTGGAGGCCATTAACAAAAACTACGTGGACATGGATGAGTACCCAGTCACCACTGAGTTTCAGGTAGACCTAACTCACCCAGAAAATGGATGGTAATCCCTGATTGAACCAGCTGGTTAGACCTGCCTAGTTGGCCCAGCCCAGTCTAGTAGATTGTTGCCATGACCAATTTGATAGAGCAGTAACCTTGCATCATCATTGGTCAAAGCCTTGAGATTGAACCCAGAAAATGGCCTGGTAAACCCTGATTGGGCCGTCTGGTTAGACCAGCCTGCAGGTTGGCCCAGTCCAGTCTAGTAGACTGTTGCCATGACCACTTTGGTAGAGCTGTAACCTTGCATCATCAATGGTCAAAGCCTTGAGATTGAACCCAGAAAATGGTTGGTAAACCCTGATTGGACCGGCTGGTTAGACCTGCCTGGTTGGCCCAATCCAGCCTAGTAGCCTATCGCCATGACCACATTGGTAGAGATGCAACCTTGCATCTTGGTCAAGGCCTTGAGATTGAACCTAAGAAACCTTATTTTTATAGTCCCACCTTAAAAGTTGGGAATTGGGATCATCATATCTTATATTGATAATTTGATTCCATTTGTTCCACTACAAAATCAGTGCAAATCTGTTCACCGTGCAAAATTTCATCAGTTATTGTTTTTGCCTCTTGAAGGGGTCAAGTTTCTGTTTTCCATATCCCTTTTCTTAGAAGAAACAAATGCCCCCATTAGGAATTCCAATGGAGCAGGTGAATTGGGTAATCGACCCGGCCCACCTCTATCTCACAAATTACATGTATATGCAACTTACAGAGGCCATTACTTTGTAACCGGTGGTTTAATTAGGATGACCTTTAAAATAAAAAATAAAAAAATAAAAAAAGGTAGCTTTTCGAAAGCACCTTGCTTTTTCTGGCCTCAAATCTTAAATTTAAGTGTTTTTTTTTTATAAAAATTAAAATATAAATATAAATTAAACTTAAAATAAAACATATATATACACAAATTACATGTAATTCTATATAATATAGATAAATGGATGGCATGCCACGGTTTGACCATCCAACCCGGATGGTTGCACTGTTTACCCGCAACCTAGAGGTAAAAGTAAAACGGTTCTGCCTCTATGTCAGTTCTTTTAATTTAAAGGGAAAATCTATTCTGTTGGAAAGGCATTATACTTGAAGGGATTTGGCTAATCAAAACCCCTGTGGATTTTGATAAATACCCCATGATTGGTTATAAATTTTGCGGTTCATTGGCTACAAGTCTTTCCAGTTTCATGTTCATAGTCGAACCCTAATTTAAAATTTACATATAAATATATGTAAATTAAATATATAAACCTATGATGTCCGAAAGAAAAAACTTTGAATAATTAAAACCCACCTGTGAATTTTGATAAATTGCATCTAATTGGTTAACACATTTATAATACCGATTCATTGGTCACAAATTTTTGAGATATCATAGTCGAACCCACATGTGAATACATTTAAAATATTCAGATTTTCTGTTTCTTTATCATACTATGATACTAATGAAACGCAATTCTGGCTAAATCTTATTACATTTTCAGAATCGGTGTGTAAACATTATAGCAAACCTTTTCAATGCCCCGGTGGACGAGACCAGAAGGGCGATCGGAGTTGGAACGGTAGGGTCTTCAGAAGCAATAATGCTAGCCGGATTAGCTTTCAAAAGGAGGTGGCAGAACAAAAGAAAGGCCCAGGGAAAGCCTTACGACAAGCCCAACATTGTCACCGGTGCCAATGTTCAGGTCTATTTTCTTTGCACACTTCACATATTCCATTCAACTGATAAAACCCATCAGAAAATCAGAACTTTTTTTTTTTTGAGTCACCGGTTCAATGGTTCAACCATTCAATCCAATTGAGTCTGGTTTGCTGGGAGATTCTTACTCAAGTTAGCATGGAAAATCCTTATGTTTACAGGTTTGCTGGGAGAAATTTGCGAGGTATTTCGAGGTAGAGCTGAAGGAGGTGAAGCTGAGGGAAGGTTACTATGTGATGGACCCGGTGAAAGCAGTAGAGATGGTGGATGAGAACACCATCTGTGTTGGAGCCATCCTTGGTTCTACGCTCAATGGAGAATTTGAGGACATCAAGCTCTTGAATGACCTTCTTGCCAAGAAGAACAAGATGACCGGGTAGACCACGTCCCCCTTTCATTTGTTTTAGACCCATTTTTCACAATATTGTAAGTAAATCATGGAGCATTTAGACCAGTCTCTGCATTTGATCTAAGAGATTAAATAAAATTTGATTTGTAATTAAACAACCGATTTTATCTCCCATAATCATCAGGGGTGTCAGCTTATTCCATCATTTGGTTCGGTTTAATTTGCACTTAAAAAGTGGTTTCATTCGGTTCGATATTTTGTTAAATTGCGGTTTTTGGTTTATTGAATTTTATAAATCAAACCAAACTGTAAATCGAAAGTATATATATAATATAACATATCTAAATTGAATGTATAAAATTATAAATATATAAATAATTTCTTTTTTTTATAATAGAATAGGAGTTTTAATTTTTAAGTTTTAAGGGTGTTGTTTGAGTTTTCTAATTGGATTAAAAGCCTAATAAAATCATAAAATGATCCAAAGTCTTTAAACTGTATTAAAAACTGCACCAAATTATAATAAAATAGTTTGATCTGATCTGATTTGATTTGAGTTAAAATTTTCTTAAATTACAATTTACTAGTTTAGTCTGAAATCTTCTCCAAATCACACCGAACCAAACCGTAAACACCTCTCTTTCACATCTTGACTGAATAAGAAGTTCAACTTGAGTCTCATTGCATTTTATTTGTTAATATTTTAACAGGTGGGATACACCAATTCATGTAGATGCAGCGAGTGGCGGATTTGTAGCACCTTTTCTCTACCCAGAGTTAGAGTGGGATTTTCGCTTGCCGCTGGTGAAAAGCATCAATGTCAGCGGCCACAAGTATGGCCTTGTTTACGCTGGAATTGGTTGGGTCATTTGGAGGAGCAAGGAAGACTTACCTGAAGAACTCATCTTCCACATTAACTACCTTGGAGCTGATCAGCCCACTTTCACTTTAAATTTCTCTAAAGGTAAACCTGATTTCAAATGACACATATCTTATATTTCTAATTTGATACTTCATTTGGTAATTGGTAGGGGTGCAACTTGGGCGAGTTTCGGGTTGAGATTTTGTTAAAATTTGAATGGATCCAACTCAAAGCAATGTAAAATGCTAGGAGTTTGGGAACTGGAGTTATACCCCTACCATTTGAGAGGGCTGAAGTGTAGTAGTGGCTTTTGGTTTTTCAAGGTGGGTCCCATATAGGTAGCTTATAAATCAAGGTTTTTAAAACCGGATCGAACAAGGAACTGTTATGGGGTTCGGTTCATGGGTCGAATGGTCCAACTGTTTGGTCCGAACCAATAGCTTGCTTTAATAGAAAAATAAAAAACGGCCAAAAACCATTGTTCAGTTTGACCATTTGGGTCAATAGTTTGCTGACCAGATCAACGGTTTTTTGTCAAAAAGCGGTTTTCGGGTAAAACGGAACCAGTCAGGTAGCCAATTCTCGGTTTTTCTGGTCCGACCGTCTGGTTTGGTCCAGTTTTGAAAACTATGCTATAAGCTATGGTGCCATTTGGCAAGTCTTTTTTGAAAGATTTTCTGACAAACTTGACAGTCAAAGGGAATGTGAACTTTTGCATAAAGATCTTAGTAGCCTGAAGACCGTTTGGTTAAGGCACATCTTTTCGCTTGTCTTTCCACGTGAAAACGTGATGAAAAATAGTCAAAAAGCTCCATTTGGAGAATTGGAGCTTTTCGAAAATAGCCCAACATGAGATTCGTGCATCTTATCTTTTCGAGGAAACATCTTTTTGCCACTAAATATTTTTCCAACCAAACGGGAAAAGACCAAAATAGGGGTTGCTAGGCTTCTAAACAGCCTGTGCGAAAAGACACGCCAAACAAGGCCATATGTATGGTGAAAAATCCAAAAAGCCCAAATCGATCATTTGAAAGGTTGTCTGCTTCAAAAGTTCAGCCTCTTTTTGATAGCTTATCTGGAACACTTCAAAGCAACTGAACCAGCTTAAGTAAATCTTCACCTCAGCCCTCACAAACGGGCTCTATTGAATTTAGGCATTTAGCTGCAAAGTTAAACGAGAGTCATCTCAATTGGTTGAAGGTGCTGTGGATGGCCTTGACTCAGTGATTTGACCACCCAACATCCCGATTCTGAGTCGACTCGCATTTTGGGCATCTATTAATTATTAATTAATATTATAAAAGCTTAAAAAGAAGTGAAAGTAAAAAAAAAAATTAGAGAAGCTTATATATGGAATGTCATAATAACTTATTCTTTTTTAATTCCCCTTGGCTTGCGTGTGAATTTGAATTCCCTCGTTTAATTCCTTCACTCGCTAGAAAATCAAGAAGACACAAGTGAATGAAAGATAAAAGAATGCAATTGTCTCAGGGAGAAACTTCACCTAGAAACCACGTACTTCCCAAGTAAACAAAGACTTCTGATGATAAAAGGATTTGGGGAATCAAAACGAACAAGAATTGCTTTTCAACAGGGAAAGAATAGCTTTAGGAAAGAAACAAGTCAAAAGAAAGAAAGATTGGATTTCAGAGAGAATAATCGATTGGTTATGACGCCAACCCTTAGAAAAGAGAAGAAACATCTAGGGGAAGTGCATGCATTAAACCCATCAATTAAATCAGTATATTCAACACCATAAGTCTTATTAATTTGCTTGATTCTTACATTTTTCTCATATCTGGTTCTACATCTTCCTCTCCTAATTGTTCTTTGTCTTGGTGGTTTTGAAGAAGTAATCAAGTATGTTTAGCCTACAGTTATCAGAACTAGCCCTGAAATTAACCTGGATGAATGGCCAGTTTCTGGCCACCATTTCCTGGTTTAATTTGGATATATTTAAGAAATCAAGAAAAAATCGGTCGGCCAATCAGATGGTTTTGGACTTCTGGTTCCCATAACTACAGCTTAGAGTCTTTGGACCAATTGTTCTTATATGGTGGTTAATTTCCATGGCCATCCCTTAGTATACCATCTTCAAAAAATAATAAAAAAAGTATATATTCTCAGTAATCTTCTCAAAGCACCTTCTATCTTGTTCAATGGGTCACTACTGCAGAAGAAGCCAATGAAAGTGAATAGCATAAAAGTACTTTCAAGTCAAATTTCCTCATAGAAAGCACCTTCAAATTTCTTATTTGGACCAAAAAAATAGAAAACTCTTGGAATGAGATGTTTTGATGTCATCTTTATTTAGCAAAGACCCTACTAGATAATAGAAATATTCAACTAAGCATAGAAACCATTCTGCATCAGAAGTAGTCCATGGCTGTTGCTCAATTTGTTTGTTTTTTCAGGATCAAGTCAGATTATTGCACAGTATTATCAGTTCTTGCGCATGGGATTCGAGGTAACACCATCTCAACCTAAAAAGTTGCATTAAATTATAATTTTTTGTTGTTTGATCCTTCGTTGCATATTGCATTAGGCCAAATTTTTACTTATTTGTATCCAACAAAGTTTTGGTCGGATCAGGCTGTCAATGGGCTGCATTAGCATATTTGCCCATTAGGCCAGCCCAAGAATAGTTGGTCTGGAATTAGCACTTCTAAGGCCCAATGGAGTAGATGGGCTGTTGACCCACTAAATCCAACTGTACATAAGATTGTATACTACTATAAAGTGTAAACCTATCATCCTGTTTTGCTTGATTATAGCTTTGATCAATGCAAGCCTTACCAAACTAACTGCAAATTGATCACCCCATTTTGTACAATGAAGGGATACAAGAACGTGATGACAAACTGCATGGAGAATGCCAGGGTGCTACGAGAAGGATTAGAAAGAACCGGGCGATTCGAGATCGTATCGAAGACGCAAGGGATACCTCTGGTAGCTTTTGCATTCAAGGACAAGAATAAGAGCTTGGCCTTCAAACTGTCCAAGGCTCTGAGGAACTATGGTTGGATTGTCCCTGCTTACACAATGCCACCCAATGCCGAGCATGTGACCATCCTTCGGGTTGTTGTCAGGGAGGACCTCAGCAGACAGCTTGTTGAGAAGTTGCTCTCCCATATAGAGAGTGCACTGAGTGAGCTCGAAGACGAACCTGCTGTTCCAAAGATTACATTTACATATGAGATGAAACCGAGAAGGTTTGTGGGGGATGGTGGTGAAGGAGATCTGCACATACCAGAGACCTCTGTGAATTGGAAGAGAGAAAAACCTAAAGTTATTTATAAGGATGTGCCAGTTACAGGTGGTAAGACTAAGGGGGTCTGTTGAACCTGAATGCTGAATGGTTGTTGCTTGAATATTTGTTTGTACAAATGAAAATGCCGTGTATCAAATAAAACTAGTATTTGAGAAAGTGAGGATTGAATAGAATGTATAGACAGTATAGTTATTTCAATAATTTATAAGTAGTTACAGCCTTACAGGCATGGAATGGTTCACTTCATCATTGTCTCTCCTAGCTGAGATCGTGTCCTCTGCGGCTCTGCCTATTCCCTACCTCCTTCCTTGCTTTTCGTATAAAGTCGTAATGAAAGCAGTTTGTTTTTTTAATTTGTTTTCGGTGGATTAGAGAACCCTTCTTCTTTTCTGCTCGTGTCAATCTCTCTGGTTCTTTATCTCATTTCTTTGTGTGTGTTTGTTTTCCGAAGTAGTGGATTCTACAAAAGCCGGGCTTTCGTTCTYGTCAAWTACTATATTTTGGTGGGTTCTGTCCCTTTTCATGTGATAATCTGTTTACAAAATTCGGCTAGCCATGAATTTGTCTGTTCCTTTCAGGTATATCCTTCCTTTGGTTTCCATGACTTCAAAATCTTCTGTTTTTGTCCATGATCAGAAAGACTGTAAATAACCCTTGTGAAGTAATCAGGAAGATGTTTGCTGACTTGTGTTCAAGCTATGATTGTCTGCTCTCAACGTTCATTTCTCATCTCTTATCAGTCTAAGCTCAGTTTATCTTAAATTTTTAATCATTCTCTTGTTGGGTTCTCTTTCTCGGCCTTTATCAGCCATGAAGAGGTTTGTCGTCAACATCGAAGCTATTCTCCTTCTTGTCCTACTGCTTTTGGATATGTCATATACATACGTAGCAGATGCATCCAGGGCTCCAATGGAGAAAAGAGAGAAAGAAGCTTTATACTCTGCTATTCAAGGGTTCGTTGGGAGGTGGTGGAATGGCTCAGAGCTCTACCCGGATCCCTGCGGTTGGACCCCAATACAGGTGTTCTAACCTCTCTCTCTCTCTCTCTCTCTCTCTCTCTCTAAAAAGACAAAGAGAAGATATTAACTGTTCAAGCCTATAGCTTGCTATTAATGGTCAGAAAATCACCTTTTCTGTTACCGGATACAAGCATATATACAGCTAATAAAAAGTAAAAATGAGACCAACCCATTTGTGAAAAAAAACCATTTTTTACTTACTGGTTGCAGTTTGAGGTTGGGGTTACTGGGTTCTAAAAGTCACATTCATGATATGTTTTCAAATCATTTTCACTATTTCAGTAGTTGTCTCAGTTATTGAGTCAAAGCAATAGTTTTTCTGTTTATATTTCACTAGTCATTGCTAATTGAATACTATTTGAAATAACATATGGAACTTTCCAACTCGAAATGTTGAATGAACCACTCTCTTTGAGCCTTTGTGAAGTTTCCAATGCAAAATCTTTAGTTTTGAAGCACCAACGTAATAGTTCATTCTTGGACTGAAACCTGTTCATCATTTGTTGTCTTGTTTATATATTCTCAGTCACAGGCTTCAAATAAATTTGGTGCTGTAGTATTCTATACTTGAGCTCATTTTTATCTTAGTATGATATCAAGTTTTCTAAGGGTTATCTCTATATATTTGTTTACAGGGAGTCTCTTGTGATTTCATCGATGGGTTCTGGTATGTTACAGACTTGATCATCGGAACAGTCCGTGACAATTCATTCCCGTGCACCCGAAATGTAGAATTCAGGCATCATCTATTCGAGTTGAAGCACCTAAAAACCCTCTCATTCTTCAATTGCTTTGTCTCTCCTGCTCAGCGCGCAATCTCCATCCCTACTCAGAACTGGGAGAAACTAGCAGGAAGCCTGGAATCCTTGGAGTTTAGTTCAAACCTGGGTCTCATCGGGCAAATTCCCACCATTTTCAGCAGTCTCACAAAGCTCCAATCGTTAGTGCTCTTAGAAAATGGCTTAACTGGAGAACTGCCGATGGGTTGAGGCGACTGGTTGTTGCTAGGAACCGATTTTCCGGTCGAATTCCGGCGAGTCTGGGACGGTTGGCTCAGCTGCTTATCTTTGACTTAAGCAGGAATTCTCTATCTGGGTCTTTACCGTTGACTTTTGGAGGTTTGACTTCTCTTCTAAAGCTAGACTTGAGCAACAATCTCTTGGAGGGAAAGCTACCAAATGAGCTCAAGAATCTAAAGAATCTCACTTTATTGGATCTTAGAAACAACAGATTTTCAGGTGGGTTGACTCAGTCGCTTCAAGAGATGGTATCCCTGGAGGAGATGGTCTTGTCTAACAATCCAATAGGTGGAGATCTAATGAGTTTTGAATGGGAAAAAATGCAGAGCTTGATCGTTCTAGATCTCTCTAACATGGGTTTGACAGGAGAAATTCCAGACACAATGGCAGAACTAAAGAGATTGAGATTTCTTGGTCTGAACGACAACGATCTCTCAAGCCATGTCCCTCCAAAGCTTTCGGCCATGCCTTGTCTTAATACTCTCAACCTGTATAGAAACGATCTGACAGGAGAACTTCAATTCTCTGAGTGGTTTTATGGAAAGATGGGAAGGCGGTTTGCTGCATGGAGCAACCCAAATCTCTGCTACCCTGTTAAGTTGATGTCAACAGGCCGTGTTCCTTTTGGGGTTAAACCATGTCAKCAGGAGGCTGCCATTTCTGAAGCAGATTTCAAAACTAAGTTGGGTGATGAGAATTTAAACAAGGATTCCCATTTGGTAGCTTCATTGGGATTCTCAAGTGGAGCAAATTGTGGGTTTTGGTGGGGTTTTATTGTTAAGGAGATTGTGATTGTTTTTCTTCTCTTTGATACGTTCTTGTGGAATTATCTTGGTTTGATAGCTTCATTGGAATTCTCTTGATGCACATAAATGTTTCTTCATTGATCCAGCGAGAGTCAAATGTTAGTAGGTTCATTTCCAGATATATTATGAGGCAATTCTGATTTATTGGTGAAAGCAAAGAGCCAAAAGACATTCTAACATAGYGAGGCATCCCTTTATGAGGCAATTTTGATTTATTCATCAATTTTTTATTTTCTCTTGGTGGGTTCGTGGCATCATCACCATCCAAACCTGGTCGATTACATGAATCATTATCCCTTCTATTTAATACCATGTTCATTGTTAAATTATCGGCCTTTAAAATCACTTCTTATTATTTATATTCTATACTTTTGATTACTCCTTGCCCTTATAAAAGGATCAAAATTTCAACACGATACGCCCTGTATCGTGTTGTCTTGTATCGTTTTGGGAACTTTTTTTAATAAAAAAATATATAAACTTGTATAAAAACCAATTTAAAAAAACAAAAAATATATAAAAAGTGCATAATTTTTAGTATTGATACACTTATGCCAATACACAGAGGTGTATATATACTTCGAACCAATAAAATAACCACTTCAAATATCAAGAAATCACTTTCTTATGGATGCTATGAGGGTGAGCAGTTATATATACTCACTTGGCTTCTAAAATTCTTGAGGGAATTCAGAATTTATGTTAGGTTAAAATTCCAATTTTTCAAAATTGATCCCGTTCAAAGAAAAATTTTGGTGTCAATTAGAAACATATAAAGATTTGGCCCATTAAAAGTAAAACCACCACATTTCATTAAAAGCATCTATTACTTCCTTTAATTTTAAAAAATAAATAGTAATTATAATAAAAGAATCAGTTTAAATAAAATGTTAAAAAATAACTTAGCTAGAGATTACTCCAACCACTCGGTCAGAATTGGGACCCTGTGTATGGTCTCTGTGTTCCTCACCCGATGTAAACTCCAATAACTCAGTCAGAGATCTATAGCAAATATCATTTMATATGTATATATATGAAATCCCTTGAGATGCTTATTTAATAGCGATCTAAAGTTCCAAAAGTTTGGAGTTGGGACTCTTGCGCCCGAGACGCCTGTTGCATGATGCATCCCTCCAAATTCCCAAACCATATGGCACTTCAGAATTGTCCTTTTTCTTGTTTCTGTTCTAATTTTAATCTCTCTCAAGCCCAACAGTTCAGCCAATGAGAATTTTTGTTAAGATGAACAAATTAAATTTCGGCTCTTTTGGGGATCTGGGTTTGATCTGTTCTTAATTGCTATCTCTGCTCAGTTAGGGCAGAACAGTAGGATCTCAAGGAAAGATGGTGAGAGGTGGAAATTGCTGCCAGTAGTCAGTGTACTTGGAAGGCTAGCAAGCTGTATGCAGTGGGTGTAGTAAATGCACCTAGTAGGACCCCTTGTAGATTTTAAGCAGACTAGGCCCTTAACTCTTCTTCCCATGGTTAATGCTTCAAGTTCAAGGTGAGATGGGGTGGGAGTGGGACCTCTTTTAGATGATCCAATATTGGGCAGCTCAGCTCTCTGTCTGTTTATCTGGGTTTTCTGCTCTCTTTAAGGGAGTTTGATAGATAGATTCTAGATTGATCGAGAGAAATCTGTTCTTGCAGGTTGGTTTCTTCTTAGACCATTGAAGAGGTACAAAAAGATGTTTGGCCATTCCCAAAGTTTTTATGGTTCATTCCTTTATTATTTTCGTACTGACAATCGGTTGGAAATGGGCTGGCCGGTGGCCGCTGGGGAATGGACAGAACTGCAAGTCTGTAATAGAAATATAAACCACAACGGTATAGCCCAGCCGAGCACCATTTTGGGTGGTGTTCGGCAATGTGATTGTTCTCTCGTGTTTTTAATTACCAGAAGTCCTTTTGTTTCATTTTTATTTTTAGCAGTGGATTTCACGTAATTATGTCCAAAATAGTTGATCAATGAGCAAGTAAAATAAATAAATAAAACGCGGGCTCCATTATATATATATATATATATACTGATTTGGGCAGTTGAACTGTCGACTCAAACAACAGTTTTGGCCATTTTTTATTTTTTTAAGTCAAAACAGGCTGTCCATTAACTGAACGGTCAGACTGTTCAATTGAACCAGATGGTCAGACCATTTGACCCAAAAACCGGTCCCTAAAACAGTTCCATGTCCAGCCCGGTTTTTAAAACCTTGGTTCCCGATGATGATAGAAGAGACTCTCAATATTGTAATTCTGTCATACTTTATAGGACACTTGCAGAGTTCTACAAAACGAAATACCACCTTTGACAACCATGATTTTATCAATTTAGGTGGCTAGAATTGCAGGAGATAAGACCATTAGGTGATCTCTATCACATATCATCATTTGTATCACGTTTTGAATATCTCCCAATTATATGGATTTAGCTACATGTATCCTGTTTCGCCATTCCTCAAGATAAGATCCATGACTATAAGAGTTTGACAAAAGTTCTAACGCTGGCTGTTAACCGGATACAACCTTGTTTATCTGTGCAGCAATGTATGATAAACTTGCATTGATGGAGTTGCAACACATTGAATGACAGTACAAATTTGCTCAAACCACATATCTGTACCATTTTTCCTTAAGCCATGCAACAGTTGAAAGATTACTTTGATATACTTTTGCTGACATGACAGTTGCTTTTGTTCAAAAAAATAAACCATTAATATTGGCGAACAACCCCCAAGTTAAAGAGAAAACGAAAGATGGGAAAAYAAAGCTAACGACCAACATTTGTAATATTGCATACCATTAACATGTTGAGCAGTTGCTTATTAAAAAGCATGTTAACCTAAGAATGATATATTAATAAAATGAACTAGAAACAACTGATGACGCTTTTGTAACTTCCTGTTATCAAGATATCATACTAATTGAGTGCACAAGAAGAGAGTGGGGAAGGAGGAAAATAAATGGATTAGATTTTTCAACATGGTCTGTATGTGAAGCCAAGACAACTTTTGGCATCATACATCCACAGGCATATACAGGACATTTGTGTCAAACCATATTTAATCCAATTATAAATCTATTGAATTTGGGTCAACCTTAGCATATGAATTCGAACAAACTTTTCCCTAGGCATCTAATTATTTATACAGGTCTCTACACAGGATTAAAGATGGATCTAAGCCTATATGCTGTATCATAATTGAGAATTCAAGAATGTATTTATGGTTGGCAGCATTTCAGAAAAGCAATGATACAACTTTTTTTTATTCTTTGATGATCAAACTAATAAACTCTTTTACAGAATGCCAGTATCTGTTCAGAAGATGATAGACAGCTATGACAAACATTTACAAAATGTGATCAGGAAACGAAACTAAAGTATCAGAGGATGCTATAATCAATCAATCACCTCACATCCATTCAACAAGGTTACTGGAACTCAGATGAACTTGGTTGTGTGACAAAGGTACTGGAACTACAAAACCCCATATCCTATTTACTGAAAGCAGGGGATGGCTCCTGCCACCTGTACAGTTGTTACTGCCGAATGCTGACTATAGTTAAGCAACCAGATGGTAATTGCATTTTGAAATGAGAGAAAAAGTCCTTCCTCCCCCACCCCCGTGCAAAGAAAGAAGTATGCTGTCTGGTCMAAGAAAGAGAATGGGAAAATGAATTATATTTTACAAATTTATTTTTAGTTTTACCAAGTATTTGCAACTATGGTTTTATTGCTCCTCAAATGCCATCCGTTGACCTAATTGTACAATTGTTGTCATTGTAGATGTTGCAAGTGATCATCCCATTGTTGACTGTACACTTAAGGTTATCTACAGTATACTGCAACTTCAGATTCTTGCCGTCTCACTGGCTCTGTAACTGCAGCCCTTCGTCGAGAATCCACTTGCAWCTGAAGCCTCTTCATGTGATTTCTTATATCTCTGCAAATATAGCAATTAATAGAGAATCTACTAACAACTTTGAAAAAGGCAAATAGATAATAAAAACTTAAAGACAAGCATTATACACACATGCAACGTGGTACAGGGCATTCCATCCGTCTGCAATTCCGAGAATGTAACCTCAGGAGGAACCAAGTCTTCTTGCAGTGTCCACAGCCTCCAGTGGCACGGGTCTTGCAATATTTACTATGGCAGAACAGTTTTTTTATTKTATCACAATTCGGATAATTGCAATGATTGATGGCACACCGAGAAGCATGCATGAGAACATCCAGCAACTTCCTCATCTACAGAAACAAATCCAATTGCTTTACAAAGAATCAGTTTCTAGAAGAGATATGTTTCTAAAGTAAAGGTGATACCTAGATTCTCCTAAAAGCTTGTTCTTAACAGTGAATCAACCATGAACAAGCAAAAGTAAGTGCACAAAAATATGCTGATTACTATCTCTCCCATGCTATGCCTGCTACTAATAGTGTATCACTCATTATAAACAATCATATTCCATTGACATTTTAATAGATTAACCTCTGCACCAGTGAATCAACAGCTCAAAGCCACAGACTGTAGAGAACCGAAGTAGAAGCGTACCCCTAGGAAACCAGGTTTGCAAAACGGTTGTGAGTTTCAAAATATGAACCTTAATCTGAACCAGATGAACCAATGGAACACTCAGACAAGAAAATACATGCATACTTTTAATCCAAGCCTGATAATATATGCCCCAGTCTACTTCTATGCAGGCTGAGGATCAATTGGCAATGAGTGAAGTATTTTCAACAGATTTCTGTTCAAGTCTCCCTTACTGAAACCTGAGAGGGCCTTATTTGTCAGCACTCAGCATCCAGGAAAAGAAGAATAAGAGCTATACCTTGTCATTGTTTCATCTCTAATTATGCACCTACGTTCTATTGGTACTAGGGCTGCAACTTAGGTTGAGTTACCCCAAACCCAACCCGAAAAAGTCAGGTTGAAAAGTATGAACATGACTTAATCTTTGCCTCTTGGGTTGGGTTAGAGTTGAGGCCTTGGCCAACCCAAACCCGACTTAGCTTCATATTTATATGTAAAATATCATGTAAACATTTATTTAAGTACTTATGTATATATGCATGCATGCATGGATCCTACCTATCTATATGCATGTATGTACATATGCTAAAACCGATTACGTCCTTTTACATATGACAATGCTAAAACTGAATCAACCTCAACCCGAGTGTAGGAAATAAGAACATTTGGCAAAAGGAAGTAGAGAAGTTGGGCAAACCTGATCCCAACCCAACCCAAAAATTTTGGGTTGGTTAGGGTTAGGGTTGGGTTGGGTTAGGGTTGACCTAACCTGGCCTTACTTGTACCCCTAATTGGTACGTACAGTTTTCCCAACAAAACTACTGTCTGGTGCCTAGGTATAGATACCTTGACTAGAATAACAAATAAGTAGTAAATAAATGAGGAACAAAGAATTCTAAATTCCAAAGCTAGAGGAGAATATACCTGCAAAGCCTTTCTCTTCCGAACCTCTCTGTTCTTTATTTTATGATTAGCCATGGAAGGATGTTTTATCAACTTATGATTATGATCAACCACTTCCTTCTGATAGCATACAGCACACACATCATAATCAGAACAGACCTCACAATGCCATCCCTGTCCAGCCTCAATATCTTTATAGCAAATGCTGCAAGTAGCAATGACAGCAGGCACAGCTGGATTGTGGAAATGGTACAATATCATCATTGTGGAATGTTTGGCCCGACGGAGTGTATCATATTGGTAATGGTTTCCCTGACAGAAGCTCAAAAAAGTCTGCCTATTCTCAAACAACTCATTATCTAGGATGTCATCCTTATCCTCGGTATGAAGGGGAACATCATTAACCTCCACCTGGAAAGGATCAACAAAATAACTAATAAAATGCCACTCCTACTTGAATGACGTAGATTAAAAGCAAAGATAGACTCGAGATAATTAGAAACTCAGAATTAATTTATTGGGGAACTTATTGAGAACTAGAATTTAGTGTAGAAAATCTTTACAAAATAAATTTTAGCTTAGGAAACACCTGAGTGAGGGCATGCTTTTCCTTGGAATTGATAGGGTGCCTATTCATCTCATCCAGGTTTTGCTCTGCATCATGACACCTAGAATGACAAAAACCAGAATAATTAGAATCTAAATATCAAAGTACCATTCAAGAACTTCTTGGGCAACTCATTCATACAGCTAGCAATAGAGATCCAAAACAAACTTTKTAGAACTAGTAGCTTTTGATATCATTATGAAGTTGTGGACCAATCAAAAGAGAATAGTAATATAAGTTATAAGTGAGCAATGTGAAGAAGAAAACGTTTTGAGTGGTGAAAAACAACAAAACAATTATCTCATGCTGAAAATAGAAGGCATTAAAACACAGACAAGCATAATCAGCAAGTAGCAAGAAATGAAGAGCAAGTCCAATAAAGCAGATTTAGAAGGTAAATGTAACTTGTCCACAAAATACAGTTTAAATAAGATATATCAGATATTTGAACAAAATAAAAAGAAGGGATAATAAAGATGAGCAAACCTTCTAGGATAGATAACAACATGGGAAACAAACAAACAAAGACACTTACCCTATTCTAAACTGCCAAATTCCAAGACATCCTTGCTTTGGGTTCTCTATAGTTGATAAAGGCATCTTTCAAATTTATCAAGTCTATGGAGAACATCAGAATATCACCAATGTGGCAGAGTGCAATTTCCATGTCAGTCTAAATTTCCTTGGGCACAAAGCAAGAGCTATCTATAGATCAAAAGGTAGTAGTAAACTAAAAACTATATGATCCACCTGACTGCACATATTGAGTAAAACATTCTCACTCTTCCGGATAAAAGCACTAGAATTCATCTTGCCACAGAATCCATCTTCTACTTTATGTCATTGATTGTTTAGTGGTGATATCCACTTCGTTTATTTATTCCTTTTTAGTTCTATTTGAGTTTAAATAAGATTAGTATAACTTCAGTCCTTCACAAATGCCTTAGTTTTTAAAAATCCCAACCACTTTCAAGTTTAAATCTTTTGAACCAACTGACCAAACCAAAAAATCAACCCAAACTGATACAACTTGAGTGGGTCTGTTTTCACAAATGGTCAATCGATTTCAACTGATTAGGTCAATTTGGTTGGCAAAACAACCTACAGCCGAACCAAACTAACTCATGAACACTCATAATTTCAGATAAATTAATAGTATCATCTTTGATAAATAACAATATTTTCATCTCCAATCATTGTTGAAAATTTATAGCGAAAATACACAATTGTTGAAAAATATATTAATAATGAAAAAAATACAATAAGTTCTAAAAATATATTAAATTAGTCAATAAATAGTATAAACTCAAATAATAGTATAATCTCTAAAAAATATTAATCAATAATCTATATAAAAAATACAATAAATACAATAAGTACAATAAACAAAATTTAAAATTTTCAATAATAATAATTTAATCTCAACCCTTGCCATCCCAACCTTGTTATTGTATCCAGAACAAATCATCATTAACTTCAATGAGTGATTTGAATACTCTCAAAGAACCGCTTAACCTAAAAGCTTAAGCTATTAGATGAGGACCCTGAATAGGTTTTTATTCTCCAAAATACCTCTCATGCAAAAGTCCACCGGACTTGAAATGTGGACAAGCATAGGCTACCTATACCTATAACTTGTACCATCTCAAAAGAACCATTCTATCTAAAAGCTTTAGCTGTTAGGTGAAGCCCCTAATTAGGTTTTTATTCTCTAATGGATGCACCCTTTCCTTTTCTTTTCACTTTTTCAGTTTCAATTGTTTAAGGGTAGATGAATTAGGAGGATTTCTAACATTTAAACCCATCGAAACCTCATAAATCTTTGTTTGATATGTATCAATACTTTGAACCATGCACCCACCCACTTTACCTGATTTTCGCTTCCACTGGTGAAACAAATTACCAAAGCTGTCTACAAGGGCTGAAATCTGAAGCTGAAAATGTAGCTCAAAAGCTATGGCTTTTAGGAAAGCTCTTCTCTGACGAGAGATAGATAAATATGTAGAACGGACAAGGTAGACCGAGTAGGGACCCAAAAAACATGTGATCTTGCATTGCCCATTCTCCAAGGCACCATGGCTTGGTTCCCTTGTTTCAAAGTTTTTCCATTAGACAGCGAAATCAATGCCACATTTCTTCATGAATGGCTTGTTATCTCAGACAATAAAACACCATCTCCCTATGAAATTACATGATGGGCCTGAGCTAGACGGACTGACTGCTGTTTCAAAGCTACCGATTTTCTCCAGGTATGGTTTTGCATTAGACATGACATCAGAAATGCCAAGGGAAAACATTTTGCTGCTAAATCAGGTCAAGTTTCAGTTCTTCAGCCATTAAGGACAAGCTATTGGCTATCCTGTAACTTGCTGAAGGCAGACTTGCGAACAGTGATGCGGTATTGTAGTTGCAATTCCGTAAGATGACTTGATTTGCAATTTTGCATCGATTCACGATTGCTTCTTTAACCGCTTCTTTCATACAAAAGCAACTCTTTAACAGATTCTAACAAGTTAAACACTAGTTTCATCTGCAGAACAGCTAAAAAGGTTAGCAACCGATATTCCAAAAAAGGCTACAAAATATAACCCTGAATTTCTCTATGACGTAGGAGAGATCAGAGATCCAGCACGCATTGTCTGCCCAAGAAACCACAAAGGCTTCAGGCCTTCCCAATTCCCATTCAGTTATACACCCATTATGTACTGATAACAAATATCCATCTCCATCTCATTGTTGGTCTTGGTGGGATTTTTCTATAAGTGCATATAAGGCCATACATTAGGTTCCACAGCCCTTCAAACCTTCCCTTCTTCATTAGCCTGAATTTTTCCGCCCATAGCATGTTCCTAGAAAGGAAAAAAAAAAAAAAAAGACCATAAACCAATGTTGGTCCCCGCCATTTGGAGTCTTGGGAGGGATAAACTGGATACAGTTGGCATTTTTTACAAAGTAGATGTTCTCAGATTTGAACCTGCATTCTCATGCTTGCCAGTCCAAAATTTTACCATTACACCAAGAAATGGCTCCTATGTTCTTTTCTAAAAGCGAAAATAAAAATATTAGATCTATCCATTATCTTCTCTAAACAATGCAAGAGCTTCAAAGGTCCAAAAATCTGTTACATTGGAGGGGAAAAGATTTTAACTTCTGAATGGATGTTTCCATGTTCTTGTGGCAGGAAAGCCGGAAACTCCTAGCTTCCATGCTTGCAAAGTGATGTTCTAAATAAAAGAATAATAAAAACAACATCCAAAATTTTCCCAGCCCAAGATGATTCTTAGTTCTTTGTCTTGAGACATTCACTATGAAATGTTTTCTGGTTTACTGCTACAAAATTAAGATGCAATCACACCACCTAAGTCATCACCCAAAAGATTAAAGCCCGAGGTTTGAAAGAAGCTGACGCCATCTTGGAGGCTCTTCATCAAAAATATAAGTCAACGGAGAGATTAAAACTCCACTGCCCCCAATCTGAAAAGATAAAAAATATTTTAGATAAAAAGTTGACAAGGTAGATAAGAAAATCAATGTCTAAAGAAGTGAAACACCAAACATGAAAAACAGTTGAAAGAAACTGAAATAAGCACAAGAAAAATTTCCCAAATAGAGACAACAAGAATCTCACGAATATGGATACACACAATATACATGCGTGTGTTTGTGTATCAGAAAGTGGTTAAAAAAGAAATTGCAAAGGTAAATGAGGAAGTGTGTCTCACAGCTCTCAGCTGCTGAACAGATCTGTAGAGCTCCTTCTTGGGTACACATATAACAATCGCATAGTAGTCTACTGTAACCTTCCCATTTCGTTTACAGAAAACTGGACTTATGGTGGGTCCCTGCATATAATCATTGAAATATTTAGCGAGGCACTTGTAAATACAATAAAACCTAGGACATTTCCTGAAAAAGCAATAAAGATGACCAGTCCTAAAAGAGAGAAAAAGTACTTGTAAGATTGGAAGCAGGAAGGAATTTTTCATTTTGGTAATAGCGATAGCTCTATGCCCACCACAAATTTTGTTACCGAGGAATGGGGCTTATCACCTTTCTGTAATTACTCTAAATCCTCACATATATGTAAAAGTTTGCATCACTTACTGTTACATTTCTCTTCAAAAAAAAAAAAAAAAAACAAACAAAACAAAACAAGACTTCTCAAATTAGTGATTTAAGCACCGACCAGCAGAGTTTTTAATTCATATGCCTCATGAAAATAATTCCAACTTGGGATGTCAATGGGTCAGGTTTCATGTGCAAGGAGGGGTTGGTAGTAACAATTTGGCTGCGCAGACTGAGGACCTTCTTACTATGAATTAGATCGATAGATTATGAATGGCATGCCTGAAGGCAACACATTTATCAATATGGTGTCCTGGCCCTTGGTGAAAAGCACAGTATGCATTGGGCTTGTACTCTTCTGGCAGTGGGTGGGTGGGTCCAGTAGCCCCTGGCTTTGAATTTTTGCAAGAGACACTTCTTTTTTTTTGATCAATAAGAAGAGACACTTCTTGATCAGTTTTTTTCATCATTGTGCTTCGTGGCATGCCTAAGTTTGTGAACTCCCTCTTCTTCTGTTGCTGCTGACTGAAATGGCTAGCTGGGATGGCAGTGATACCCAAATGACTTGACCTCTTGAGCCTTCCCAGTGACTACTGATTTCTTTCCCTTATCAGTAGCAGTGTTGTTATAAAACACCCCTTAGGAAAAGGCATCTTCTAATTGGCTCCCTACTGCTAGTAATGCCTTGAAGCACAGAATAAACTGGGAAACAAGGTGTCTGGCATTCTTGAGGACAATATTGATCTATTCTTCTTTTGTGGGCCAGTTCCACATTTGGGCTGCTTTAGCCCACCACCGGGTGTTAAAAGTGGTGAAAGACTCCTTAAGTTCCTATTTTTAGTCATCTCTAAATTCCTCCAGGTCAACCAGATTTCCATATTGTAAGCATTCTATCAGACGAACCCCTTTCTTAATGTCCTACGTGAGGGCCCTATCTCTGTCTTGGGATACCCAAGTGAGTTAACTTCTTGAATTATGACCTTCGGGCCCTCTCATCAAAGTTCAAGAGAAAAGTAAACTGTTGTTAGATGAAACAATAATTCAATAAGCAAAGAATGAAGGTGTTTAGCCTGAGCACCTTGCTACCCGGACCTAGTTGTGAGAACCAAACGCGCCACTCCTTTCACATCCATTCAGTGCTTTGTATTTGTTTTATTCACAGTTTAATAATAAATGCTCTTTTTTATGGATATTTGTGTGCAGATTAGTTTTTCTTTCGCATTGCCCATCTACTACTGTTCTCAGAAATTCTGAGACCCCACTACTCCCTGAGAGGGGGTCTCCAACTTCCCTCTAGTAACATAATGTTTCGAGAAGTTGATGATCTCTCTAGTTATAGCCCCCAATGTTTTAAAAGCAAAAGGTGCAAAAAAAAAGCGCGAGTTTTTTGCACCCAAGGTGCACACCTTTTAAAAGAATATTAATTCAAAAAATGCAAACTTAAATTTTAAAAGAAATCAAATATTCTAAAAAGCCTATTGGCTCAAATTAAAATACATAAATATAACACAAAATATTTTCAAAGTGAATGTGAGAAATAAAATAAGACAACATATATAACATATCCCAGCACTCAATTCAAGCATGTGAGATTTTCAATCTATTTTGTTCTTTTACATTACTTCAGGTAGCCAATTTGATGTTAAACATCTTGTATTCCTATTTCTTTGGGAGAAGACATCCACCTCTATACCAAACCCCTGGAGGCAAGCCTAGAAAAGTTCATGTGAGGGTCCATATATAAAGAAATTGGTTCTGTGAGTTTAGGATCAGGAATCAACTGTTTGATGAAAAATACTAGCAAAAAGGGGGGTTCTGTTGTAGTGTTGTCAAACAAGCAAAGAGAGTGAATCTGGGATTGCCTCAGGGGCTTGATTGGAGATTTGGGGCAAAGCCCCTGTCCCAGCCACTATGCTAGAAAAGGTGCACAATTGAGCTAAAGTGCAAAGCACACCAGCCACTAGGGTGCAACTTGGGTGAGCTCAGGGTGAGAAATAGTAAAAATTTGAATGTGCCTGGCCCAAAAGCCTGGGCCTGATGCAGTGTAAATTCTTCGAATCAAGTACCCAACTTACTCCTACTAAGCACACCAGGTGCATGCTTTTTCAAGGGAATTGTGCATGGACCTAGATGAGGAACCTGTGCGCCTAGGCGTGCCCTTTAAATCACTGATTGCCCCCCTTTCACCTGAAGTCCATCAATGAATGCTTAAGAATAAAATACTTCCATCACCTACCATTTGTAAACCTATAGAAGAACTTTGTTCTGCCATTTCCCTTAAACATTTCACCCTAGAGGGTTGTCTCTAGTAAATTTCTTCTTTCCAAATGTCTTTCCCACTCATCCTTGATGTTTACACTCCTTTGTTTTACCTCTGTATTGAGATCCATTTCTGCTTTCTGTTGTCTATAAGTGTCAATCCTGCCCAAAATACACTTCTCCAGTAAAATTAATTAACTGTTCTGCCTACCTGAGTGAAAATACAACACAATCTAGGGCAAGTAAACTAAACCTGAAAAGACACTAATTGTCCTCCCAAAACCTATTAAGGAACTCCCCCATAATTAGCCACACCAACCTAATGCGATTCAAGGTTAACCCACCACACAAATAACAACTGAAGAAATCAAACTTGCAGTTTTCAGCAACAAAGAATATGATTTGAATCAGAAATGTTCGCTGTACCACTCGTGTCAGCATAGAAGTCTAAGAGAAGTAGTTAACAGAAAAAAAGTAAAAGCAGCTATAAAAGTACAGATCGCACCCACATTCAGAACAATCTCCTTTAGTTCTTCCAAACAGTTTCTCTGCATAAGGCCCTACATATAAACTAAGAATCTTGATCCAATTTACATTAAACTTGCAAGCAAGTTACACCCTCTTTTGGACTCATGATTGCAATCAAACTTGGAGTATAAAGCATAGAAATAATTCTGGACACAACCACTCACTGTAAGCAACTTAAAACCAGTCCTTACGAAACTAGGATTCTGAGACAAGATAGGAAAGAGAAATTTAACCCACACAACAACCTATAGAACTTCTAATAAAACTAAAAACAGGTATAAAATAAGAATACTCAAACATCCAAAGCACTTCTTCCAAAAGATGTTTGGTAAGTTCTAGAAGAGTTACTACTAGTGCTGCTTTCTCTGTAGGTCCTGCATCACTACCCTTTTCTGAAAAAAAAAAAAAAAAGAACTGTCTCTTCACTACTAAACCACAGAAGACATTTTCTTAAAAAAGCATTGCTCATGAGACTTATCTGTCAAAATCTCAAACCTCTATATGATTTAATACAAAGAATAGAGTATTATTCATGGCATATCCATCAAAATCTCAAACATCTAAGTGATTAAGCCAGAAATCCTATTTCCATTTGACAATTTAGAACTTTCTTTTATCCCTTCTTCCATTGCAAGGTAAGTCGTCCTGAATATTTCCAAACCTCTAGCAGATGAAGATACATTCCCAAAAGAATATGGTTGAAAACTGGGAATGCTAGCAAGAGACACTCCCAATGAGGATAATCTAACCATCAAAAGAGAGAAAACACCTAGAATAGAATCATATCATTTTTTTTTTTTTTTGATCAATAACACTTTCATTAATCATCAGTAGAAAATTTACAGGAGGAAGATAAACACACTTATCTTCCAAGAGTCACTAAGAGCTTCATAAAAGAAAGAAAAAAGAAGAAAAAGAGAAAAGAATACACTAAATTTACATCTTGGCCCAA